CAACAAGTCACTCAGATACATTCCAGTGTATACCATGCAATAGGGACAGATGACCTCCATATTCTGCCATACGTCAAGCTGCTGCATATGTCTGACCATACTACATTATGGAAAGGGACCATAGTTTAGTGGTGGAGCATATAAAAGGAATGCAGAATAACATAAATTCAGTCCCTGCCATCACCAGTTAAAAGACTCATTTGGTAGGTGATATTGAAGATCCATGTTGACAATCCTACATAACTTCTGTCAAGCTGATTAGACAATACTGGGGAAAGCAATAGGTCTAGAACCGATTGCATAACCTTATTCAATAACCTATACTAATAACTTATGTAGATAAGTATACACTTTTTTGGTTCTGCTGGGCCTTGAGATGGGTTGTCTAACCAGAATTGAGCTTCTGGGCACCATTTGTTAGTGATTTTATTCAATGCTATGGCCATGGCATTCCACAGGGCTTTATTTTTTTCTTTCGCTCCTCTGCTGCTAATTTAGCATCCCCATGGAACCAATGATACTCAATTCTCTTTGTCCTTGCCATCACTTTTTCAGGGAGTTGTGTAAGTCCTGAGACAGTGTTTGAGGTCAGTAATACACAGAATAAGAAGAAAGTGAAACTCAGTTCATATAATACACGGTATTACATGGTCAGTTCCTCATACTAGGATTCAAGCAGCCTGAGATCAAACTAAGGGCACATCATTGTAGAACTCGGAATTTCAATTTTGAAATGTGTTCAAAATGAGGGACAAACAGGAGGCATGAAATGAGATTTTCAGGAGACATAACAGGGTAGAGAGCAGGTAGAAGCAGGAAAGCCCTAGAGAAAGAAGTTTTTGTACCAGCAAAAATCAGGCATATATTGAGAAATTTTATACATTATAAATAGAGCTTAAATCACTGGGCAATGTAGAATTGTTGTAAAGAAATAAATATTAGTACAACCAGAGATGCTTTTCTTCCTGACCATCAGGTGGAATATACTATGCACCTAGCATCTTCCCCTTTTGAATAGACCCCTCTTTCTAAGAAGGAACATTGGATATTGGGTGGTATAGGAAAATAATACAATATTTTTAAAGACCCCTGGAAATCTCTTTGTGAATAGGCAAAAGATATTATGTCACCTATCAGACTCCCACTTGTCTTAATTCCTATGAGTATGGGAAAGAAGAGAGGTGGTCAGGGTTCATGCTATAGTGGTACAGTTTGGTCAGGCAAGATGGATTCTTCAGATATACTGAGGTTTTTGGTAGGGTCCCATGCCTCTGGCTTGGATGATATTCCTCCAAGGTCCAGGCCAGATTGGTTCCTGACAAGGCAATAGCCACTTTTCCTGAAGAATCAGGAGTATTCATGGGTTCACTTCTGAGCCTGGATGTATAGGTGATGACTATTGTATGGACTAGATTTGCATAGTTTTGGCTTGTGTGCTATTGTGTATTTTCCTTGAGACATAATGTTCTATCATACACTACTTTAATACGCCGTATGTAAAGCTGCCATGGAAAGATGTTTAGATGCTGCAGTTCATAAAAAATGTGCATTATCAGGTAGTTTAGCGTGATTGATTTGAAAGCTGCCTGCTTCAACTTAAATCCAAAGCTGAATCTTGTTTCAGAAGGAAGTATTGACCTTTTTGATGGTGGGATTGCTTATTTCTTCTTCCCACTGTTGCTCCACCATCCATGAAGAAACTACCCCTTCCCCAGCGAATCCCACTGATGGGTTTTTTTAATTTATAGAAAAATTTTATGGGCCTAAGGATCAGTCTGCCACTATAACGCAAAGTCCCAGCATCTTATCCTTTTTCATTGTTACCAACGCCATTAGAATACTTAACATCTTCTGATAGCTGATGTTTGTTTGTTTGTTTGTTTTTTATCCTACTTTTTTCATACAATGACCTCAAAGCAGCTTACATCATTTCCCTCCCACTGCTCTCAATCTTTTTCCCACAAAAACAACTAGGCTGTGCTGAGAGTCTGTGACTGGTCCAAAGTCCATGGCCAAGTAGGACTAGAACCCAGATCTCCTGAGTCCTAGTCCTACTCTTAACCACAAACCAAAATGCTATAAGAGGTTCAGGTATGAAATGGACTCTAAAACTACAGCAAAATGAACTATTAAACGAGTTACTTATTGAATGGATATTTTTTATGTAAATATTCTAAATGTAAGTGTGATAGTCACTTGGGGGTTTTCAAATGGCTGTTTACTGACAGTTCTTAGGGACTCAAGTGATATGTGAGGCCAGATTCCCTGAACTGGCACCGCAACCAAAGACCACCCTTGAGTTAGGGTCTACTTCAGCTCCTCCCATTGTATTACTGGCTGTTTGAACAGCTCATCTGAATCTTTATTACCTGCATGTATGGCCTTCTTCTGGCAAGATCCTAGGACAACCTCTTAACAGATTTTAGCTGCCTGCTTCCTATTTCTGCTCTTTATCCACCATCTAAGTTTATCCCCACACAAAAATAATAGCTTTTCAGTTTCTCCCAGTCCTTGTAAAACACCACACACCAACCTGCAGACTTTCAGACACCCTCTGACTCACTCCTAATTCCCCAGCAAGTCTTTTCCACTAATCTGGAATCCTAAGTCATTTGAATTTACCTGATCTAGGTCACATGTAAGAAGATTCAAAGCAGTTATCTCTCTCCTCTCCAGAAAGTCACTCACCAACTACTTCATAGGCCTTTGTCAAAAACAAAACAGGTCTTTAGACTTAGCAGACACTCTGTAGCCACATAAAATAAACATTACATAGCAACACAGTTAAATATAAGCATTTCTTCAGAGATCCACTTCCCTTTTATTGTCTTCATGGTTGGTTTGTTTCTTAGTAATTGCTATGAAAATGGCATATGTCTCTAGGCAAGAAACCTGAAATGTATCAGAAGGATAGGTGAAAGGGCTACAGTTATGATAAATGAAATATAGTTAAAGACTCTTTCCTGCTCAGTTGGCTTCAAGGTTAAAGAAAGGGGTGAATAATGGATTGGAATATACAGTGGCAGAGGCAAAGGGGCATGAACTTCAGCCTTTTTAAAAGCAAGCACCCAATGCTATGTTTCCATCACATATCCCACAGAGTCCATCAATTCCTTTTAGTGTCCTTGGATCCTGGAAGAGAGAAATAAGAAAGCAGGCTGAACAGTTGATAAGACGTGAAATATGCTATATTCAACATCCCTCCCCTAAAGCATAGATTGGAGAACCCTGGTAAAAATACTATGGTTCCCTGGACAATATATAGAGAGGTAGAGGTATTGGAGATCAAATGATAAATATCTCTGATGTCAGAGCTACAATGCCACACTTGGTACACTGTCCTTCTGACAGGCAGTGCAGAAGTTCACACACTTCCCATATGGGTTTATCTGTGTCAGAGCAGCATAAGACAACTGGGCCACCTCAACATGTTGCAAATATTTCATTCGACTCCCTACTCCTCTTCCCCATCTTCTTCCGTTTGACAGAAGGGACTGTTAGTTACCAGAATATATCCTAGCCTTCTCCTAACCTTGTAATACTGAAATGTTCAAAGCAATGGTGCCATACAATATTATCCATATTCAACACTTAGGACCCAGCAACAGCTTTCTACTTACAGTATGATGAAATGCAGCAGTCTTCTGCTGCAAATACTTGCCAAAATACTTGCCACCAGATATTTTGGACATCATCATCATCCATCGCTATTTGCTCCACTGGCTGGAGCTAATGGTAGTTGTAATCAAAAATATCTGAAAGGCTTTGGGTTGGTAAAGGCCCCCTATGGAAACGAATAGGAACTGCAAAAATTATTTTCCTGGTGAATTGGACCTCGTTTTGGACATGGAATTCTGCATATGAGCTAACTGTTGGTATGAAGAATATACAGTAAAACTTAGTCAATTTAATCATTTGAACTATTTCAATGTGCTTTACGTGGCGTACTTTTGAAGTGATTGTGAAAACTTCAACTGATCTAAAATGGCAGCTAGACTGTTAATGGGAACTGGTTCACAGGAACACATTATGTCAGTCCACTTCCAGCTCCAGTGGCTGCCAGTTGAAGACTGGGCCTGATTCAAAGCACTTGTTCTAACATTCACAGTCCTAAATGGCTTGGGGCCAGGTTACCTGAAGAATCATCTTCTCCCATATGTACCTACCTGGACCCCCAAGGTCATCTTTGGAGATCCTCTCTGGGAGTCCCTTCCAAGGAAAGTGAGACAGGTGGCTACCAGGAAAGGGCCTTTTCAGTTGTACCACCCCAGTTTTGGAATGAGCTCCCCAAAGAAGTTCACCTAGTGCCTCTTTTGTATCCTTTTCAGTGTGAGGTGAACATTTAAACAGTCTAACTTTTAAACTTTTTTTCTGTATTCCATTTTATTCTATACTATGCTTCTGTGCTGAATAGTTGCAATTTCTATTGCTAATATGGTTTGTGTGTATGTGTCTTTTAAACTTTAGTTTAATTTTAACTTTTGTTAGCCACACAAACACCTTTGGCAATTCAGTGGTACAAAAATGAAATAGTTGATGATTGCAAAGTTCGTGTGTGTGTGCATGTGTGTGTGGGAGGGAAAGGAAAACACATCTGGGAACCGCTGGAACTGAAAGAATTCAGTTCATCATTCTGGATGATCTTAGAAAAATCCTCTATCAATTATGATATGATAGATGGAGACAGCTCAACTCCTTCTCTCAGGAAGACAATAAAATATTTTACCATTAAAAAGATTAAATAGCTATGATTAAATGTCTATGATGCATCCCAGTCTGGATATCTGGAACAGCACATGTAGCAGGTAAGGCTATTTTTCAATGACTTGAGTTGCTGAGAACAAGGATATTTTCCTCTAGTGCTCTCTGGCATTGTAATGCTAGTTTCAATTTTCCAGCCAGTTCCTAAAAATGCTATGTTTAAGGGGTGTTATAAACTAGGGTTAATTATATGCATCTGTATCTTTCTTCCATTTCCCTTCTACCCAATCAATATTCAGAATCTTTGGCCATCTCAGTCTTCGTTCCGAATGGCAACTAGTGAAAGTAGATTACAAATCCATCTTTAGTTGGAGGTGCACCAAGGATGACTTCCAGACATGGCATCTGCACAACCAGGTACTGCTACACTGAAATATATTTTCTTTTGCATCCTCCAGAGGGAGCACTGGTGTCCTTGTTCCTAGCTTTTAGTGCTGCCACAAAGGACTGAATCTATATAATATGATTCTGTAGAACTGAAAGAAGGATAGTAGGGAAATCTGAATAGCAGGAAGTCTACACAAAGAGAATGAAAAACTGGCCAAAGAATTAAAAATGATAATAATAAAAGCTCTAGGATGCCAAACAAGAAACAGGTAGAGTGTGCTTTAGTTCTCAGACTTGCCATGCTGCTGTTCAGGAAAGCAAAGAAGCACGTGCCAGAGTTAGAAGCAGCTACAAAAAGAAGGAAATTGAACAAGAAGGTGTGACAGGCACACAGAGAAGAAATAAGACTTCTCCACTTGTCCATACATTGATTCTAATTAACCATACTGTGGCCATTATGCCTTGATTGTTAGTAAAATATCCTAGGACTGGAATTACAATTATGACTGAGGATTTAATCTGAAGAGTACTGTTTAAATTAATGTGAGGTTTGCTGTTTAATAGGGATGCTAAACTTCCAGAGCTGCTCAGAATCCTATGTCTGGCTGTACATTTTTTTGTGATTTTCTGGGACTAAAGACTGCCTAGAAGGATCCATAAGAAATATTTTTATTTATTTATTTATTTAGAAAATTTCTAGGCCACCCCATTCGCCGAAGCCTCGGGGCGGCTTACAAATATGCCTTATTTCCATATTTTTCATTAATGCTAGTTTATTTTTCCTGTGTAATTTTGGAGATTTCCATTGAATTAGCAGCCTGTATTCCTAACATTTAGGTAGTATTCTAGGTTGTCTTGTTCTGTATTTTGTCTTGTACATTTCAGAATGCGACTGAGACTGTAGAAATAAAGGAACAAAAGTAACAAGGTAACTCAGAATTTGAAAAATCTAGCAGTGAGGTTTTCTGGAAAGTTTAAAAACCTGTACTTCTTCTACAAATTAAATACCAAAGAAAGATATGCAGAGTTATTCAGAGTTCCCTTCTTCTTTCTAACTGACCGATGTTCTATTCAAAGGGTGAACCTTGTGTCATGGGAGAGAGGAAGATCTATAAGAAACGTAAACCAGGGGCATGTTGCGCACTGACCAGAGATTTTTCCAGAACAGTTGTCTCAGAGCCTTGCATCTGTGCTGAAGAGGACTTTGAATGGTAAACCATGTCCTTTTTTTACAGCCTGTTGCTAGAATTCCTCTTGCTGACGTTATGTACAATTCCAAAAATGACCTGTAAAGCTCCGTTATTTACTAACAATATGCAGCAAAACTCTTCCCCTGATGTTGTGAACTGTCCTTCCCACTCCAAAAAGCCACATATCAAATTAGCAGAAGAAGCTGGGTTTTTTTAATCCCTGGGAAGTTTTAATCCAATTGGTTTATTAAAAAGAACCCTAGTTTTCCGTCTTCACTTCCGTCTACATTATGAAGAGTGAGTATAGGTGGCTTGAAGGCCAGTCCAGCTCAGCAAAGGAGCTGCAGCTGAAGGTGAGAGTGATATGTGGATCTGGAGAGAAAGGAATTAAAAAGGCAAGTGGGGAACAGATCAGAAATGGACTATAAAGAACAGTGATGAATGTAGATGACTAGACAAATCTTGAAATGGGAAAGTGAAGAGCATCCAAGACAGGATGGCTGGGAAGCAGTGTAGCAGGAAGAAGGAGAGGATTGGGAAAAGTGACACAGATAAAGAGTAGCGTTCCTAAATCAGAGAGAGACCAAAAAAGGAAGGCATTTATTTGGAAGAACAGATAGTGCCTCTAAATCCTATAACCTGGATTCCTCCATTCATGACAAAGAAAGCTGAGTAGAACCCTGCTTTGACCAGCTATATTTCTTGACCTCAGGCTGCTATGCTAGCACTGCCTTTCTTGATTCACAATGAAAGAGAAGGGCACCTCACAACAATTGACTTTGGGACCCAGATTGGGCCCGTAAGAAGCACAAAGTGAAGTCTTTGGACAATAGGGAACAATACAACCACCATCAGTGGGCTGGGAATCATTAACACATGTGTATCTTAGCTACCCTTAGGAATCAAGTGGGAAGTTTTCTCTCTTGATGGGAGTTTTCTCATTTCTTGAGTAAGTATTAAAAGTACTTATGTAATGCTTTTCTGGCCACTGGGGTCCTCAAAGCAATGCACAATAAAATCCAATGAATTCACAACATAAAAGAAAGATGATAGCAACCATGCAGAACATTCTTTAAAAACAAGCCAGACACAATTTTAAATGCCATATTCTTGCAATACAATAGTTTTTACTGCATGCTAAAATTCAGTTGGGGTGAAACCTGCCTGATCTTTCTTCCAAGGGACTCCACAGCTGAGATTTTACTACAGAAAAATCCTTTCTTTTATACACAGTGACCTAACTTCTCTTGGTACTTGATTATGCAACAAGGCTTTGTGAGACGAAGGTATCAGATTATGGGTAATATTACAGGGAGAGGCAGTCCCTCAGTTGTCCCGGACCTGAGCTGTTCAGGGCTTTGTAAGACAAAAGCAGCACCCTAATTGGGGTGTGAAAATTAATTGGAAGCCAGTGCATGGTTTCTGAGGCACATACTAGACAATAGGCTGACTAGCTCATTTAGCAATAGCTTATTTCTAAACACTTTTCAAGGGTATCCCTATGTAGTCCACATTACAGTAGTCTAAGAGGCAATCAATGTATGGACCATCATGATCAGGTCTGCCTTCCCAAGGTAGGGGTACAGCTACACAAAGTTATTTCTGGTCTGAACTACCATCTAGTCCTCCAGGAGCAGCATAGCATCCTCAAAGTTGTGAAGCTGGTCCTTCAGAGGGAGCACTACCCCATCCAGAGCAGCCTGTGCCCAAATCGCAGACTAATTGCTCTGTGAACAAAATGAACATCAGTCTTTTATGGATTGATTTGTTAGCTCATGCTCTGCATTTAGACTGTGCTTCCTCAGATTCCTTGGCATCAATTCAGTGATAGATCTGGGTACCATCAGTATTATGATGAGACTGGACTCCAATTCTGCTCCCCTATTGACCTCATGTCAATGTTAAAAAGTATAGGGTATAAAAGAAACCATGTAAGCTCATGGGAAGAATAGTACCTTTCAGTGCTACTTTATGAGATTTTTCACCTGAATTGGATTTGAACCACTGAAAATTAGTGCCCCAAATTCTGTACCATCCAAACAGCCATTAAAACTTAAGATTATTGAAATTGAATGATGCCAAGAGATCTAGCAGAACCAAGGCAGACACATTCCACCTGTAGAGTTCCTGATTTAGGACATCTGCCAAACCACCAAGACTTTCCTGACCCAAAATCAGGCCTACACGCAGACTGGAATATATCCAAATAATCATCTTTGTCCTGCAGTTGAACTATCTCTCTCTCTAAAAGCTTTCTGTAAAAAGGAAGATTGGAAACTAGATGATAACAAGGGCTGTAGGAATCAGTGAAAAGCTCCCTTAGCCAAAGGTCTGATAATTGCTTCTTTTAGTGAGATTATTCTACTCTTCTTTCAAAGAATCTTTATAACCTCCACCAGCCAATTGGCCAATCCTTTTCTGCCAGGTCTGAACAGCCAGAATAGACATGTGTCTAATGAACAAGTGGTTGAACTCTCTGTTCCACTCAATTTCTTCACATCCTCAGGTCAAACAAATTGATACCCCCTTACCAAACTTGACAAGCAATTGTGTCAGTTATCTCCACAGAAAACACTGTCACTAACAGAGTCCAAGTAAGAGTAGATATGAATGATTTTATCATTAAAGCATTTTGCAAGTCCATCACAATGAGTTTCTGAAGCTGTTCCTCACTACCCTGGGATCTAGAATGTAATAGCCCTCTGGCAAGAACTTCTTTCCTTTTCTCATTTCCCCAGAAGAGGCTCTAACCATTATATGTTCGAATTTGTATTGACTCTTTCTCCACTCAAGCAGCTGACTTCAGTGCACACTAAGTGAGCTTCACATTCTATTTAACTGTTCAAGTTTCCTCAGGGATGGAGAAAGACCACATCAGTGTGTCCTTTTGTAGAGAGGCATGGGCAGAGAATACCACAAAAACAGCTCCCAAGAGGACAGTAGAACAGCAGAAAATGCTACTAAAAAGCTTTTTTCAAGTTTCCTTCCTTTTAGTTCTCCATTTGCCCTTGTCACGCAAGCTCTCCAAAGCAAGCTGGAGCTGCAGCTGGACTTCATAATTTTTCTAACATACAAACCCTGGGGCTTTCAAGTGGGAAGGTGGGCAGCATTTGTGTTTTTAATACACATTTACCAGAAGTTAATGAATGAGTTTGTAGCCTTTGGGGCATTCAGCAATGTTGCATTTAATATTATTTAATATTAATGCAGCTCTTTCTTTCTTTTGGGCAACATGTAGCTCCTCCTGAACATTTCTAATTACCAAGCAACTACCAGGCATCTGTTAAATATGCAATTGCTTGCTGAGAATGATTAAGTTTGAACATTAAGACAAAAAGCATTAGGGGATTTTGATTACTTTTATGCAGTTCAGAAATGTTTGTCTTCCAAAGAATCATGGGATTCTGCCCAGGTCAGGGGTTATACTCTACCCTTATGCTGCTTCCTGAATCCAATGTAGATAACAGGTCACTCCATCAATTATATTAAATACATTCTCATGACATCATAACTGATATTGTATCTGTATGAAATAACTGTATGAAATACTCTAAGATTTCTTGAAATTTCATCTTGGCTTCCCCAAGTACCTTCCCTCCATTACGTTTTCAGAAACGGGGTGGCTATTAAGAAGGGCTATGATGCCTTCATCTACATCCATGGATCTGCTGAGGGTCTACAAAAGATATTTCTCCTTGGGGTTGTTTCATACAGATTCTCCCCTGCACTTGGGTAGAAAGCTTAGTGTGGCCTTCTGCTTGACCATAGCTGATCCTCTGCACAAACATGCTTAGAAGCGGGCTGCTGGGTTCATAGACATAGTTGAAGTTGTCCCCATGTAAGCAATAGATTTACATTAAAACGGTTCCGTACAAGGTTGTTAATTTGCAACACTCAAAAAGTGTTCCACATCTAAGTAGATAGATTCTGAATTAGAATATACCTGAGTGTTCAATGTTACCTAGAGAAAGAAAGTGTGAATTTGGTCACCAGGTAAGGGTTTTGCCCTATTAAAATGAAGTTTTGAGGAACAGTCCTTGCCATCTAAAGGCTGGCTGAGAAGAGATAGCAGCGGGCAGAAATACCCCTCCAGTGAAAATGGGAGCTCTGTCAGTAGGATAGTATGACAAGACCCCCATATCCATGGGGATGGGTTTCAAGCCACCCAGCAGATGCCTGAAACCATGGTTAGTAGTGAACACTACCTTCTCAGGACCTTGGGATGCAGGACCCCTGTAAGAGTGGAAAAAAATTCGAATACGTCTAGCAGAAAACTGTGAATATCTCTGGAGTCTTCACACCCATTGAGAGACAAAATGAGTGAGTGAGGCTGGGTAGTACTGAAACAAAGAGTGGCATCCCCAGAGTGTGTAGTTCCCTAGGTAGATGCGCAGTTTTCCTCTAGAGATATTCATGCTCTCCTATTTCCTGAAAATGTGGAGGGCCAATAGCCAATCTCTGTTAAGTGAAACCATGGTAACTGAGACAGCAGATATGGGAATCCTGCTGTATATTCATCACGGAGCGCCCAAGTTACCTTACAACACACTCTGCAAGCAGAGAATTGCTGGGCTGGGGAGCACATGGTTTTCTGGGGTGGTTCAGAGTGGCCATGGCTTCATTGGACTGAACTACTTCTCTAACATGTCTCAAGATTGGGGTTCACAACTGTCCCACTCTGAAGCAGGGCTGGAATTACCTCTGTCAGAAGTCCTGGAGTTGTTGTTGGTGGTCAGGGTTAGGGTAACTCCATAATATGACAGCCCAAATATCCTCCAGCTACAGAATGTCCTGTGGTAAAAAGAGGGAGTCATAAATGGCACATACATAAATATGAGGCGATGAAAAGATACAAGGAAGTAAGATAACAGAATCCCCATCCCTGTCTTTCCTCCCTCTCTTTCTTTCCTCTCTTGCTTTTGTGCATCAAATCTGATGTATATATGTGCAAAGAAATGTGCAAGTGTTCTTGCCAAGGAATTTAAAGTGAAACATTGGGTTTAGAGAGGGATAACCTGGATGTAAAAGTCTGTATTTTCCTCCATATCCTTCAGCAGATTAATATCTTTAAGCCCGAGCTGTCTTAAGGGCTATTGTGAGAATAAAATCCTGTGTTTACCTTGCTTAGAGGAAGGGTGGGATGCAAAATATGCTTGGTAAAAATGTAGATATTCACAGCAAACTCTCTAATATCTATAAATTTCCTCAGTGACTATGGCTATGAAAGACACAGTAATAATCAATGCATCCCAGCATTCTGGTTCAACCCATCCTTCCAGCTGAAAGAATGCACCCTTGGACAGAGCTACCTGAACAGCACTGGGTGAGTGGGCCACTTGTCAGCTTGCAAAGTCTGTTTTGCCATGTCTTGAACTTTTCCCGGGCAAGCAGCTGATGGTTGCAGCCTCATCTATGTAGAGCATTGCAGAGCTTGCCCAAGACAGTTGGATCTCCAAAGCAATGGACAAGAGGCCATCCCTTGTCATGTGCAAAAGCCAACTTGACTGGTCATTGCACCTTTCAACAGTGGCAATGAGATGACACCCTCCATGATTCTTGAAGGCAGCAGGCTTGCTGAAGGACCTCATGGCAGCTGGGTGTGGAATAGAGCTCTCTTATCCAACACCTTTCTGTTGTCTTCCAGCATCTCCCAACTGAGGCAACTACACCACTCTGCCTACTGGCAGGACTGGCTCTGTAGCATCCCTTGATTCCTCAGTAGATCAGCACATAAATTGCATGTACAGACTCTGGGGACACATGCTCAGTGTTTCCAGATCTTGCCTGAAATAGTTTGATAATCTGGGGACCAGTGGTTCTTCCATTTTACTGCTAGACCAAAACATTTCACCTAGACTTTTGTTGCTGCTGGTGGTTTTAAGGTAAGGTGAAAAAGATCTGTGAAAATTGAAACAGGCTTCATGGGATAGATAAAGTCTAATACAATGGGGACAAAGCATGCTCAAGAAGTAGCTGAAGGCTTCCATGTTTTCCTCCATAATCAAATTCTTTGCCACCAATTCAAGTGGTGTTGGAACAGCCTGAATGCATCCCTTCTTAATTTTGAGCAGAATAACCTAATAGGAGTGCCACACACCTAGTGATGGCAGTCATATTAGAATATTTTAAGCCTACCATGACTAAAAGTCACTTGGCAATATTGTTCCACAAAAATCTTATATCCAGACTCTTACTATAAAATGAAATATGCAATGGAAGAAGTTCCTAACAGTCCACATTTCTTCCAGGAATGTTAATTACTGTAAACTATGAATGGCTGTCTTGCTAATTTCATTTCCTGCCACTTAACCCATTTCTTTTGGCTTCCGGCTCATAGCTTCAGTATTGGAACAGCAGGTTAGACTACATGAGTATGAGGCAACAAATTCTACTCATCCCCATAGTTTAGTCATTAACTTAAAATATTGTCTCCATTGTTTAAATATATGTTTAAGAAAGAAACTTTGGTATAACCTTACCAGGATCAAGTATGTAGTCTACGAAGTTTTCTGCACTATGTATGGGCAAAAATATTTCTAGAAATGTCATGGAAGAGTATATGTGTGTATATATTTTTTAAAAATAACAGACTGATGCAAGGGCACATGTCAAATGCCATCATAATGAGGAAGCAAAGAGCAGAAAAATAGGTTGTTGTTGTTGTTGTTTTCCAGTGCATCTTATGCCTGTGTACATTTCTTACATTATTAGGTAGTTGGTCTTTCCTGGTGTTGGCAGAAAGTTGAAATTTAATTTGCTCTGACTGCTGCAGTTGATAAACCTTTAGAATTCTTTATACTTCCTGTTAACAAGCATAGAGCATATGCTGTCAAACTTGGGTTTTGTTCTTGAAACACAAAGTTTTAAATAAACAACCCATTCAAATAGAACACCTCATATTTCACAGGTATCGGAGGATTGTTTCTAATAACTGCACGGATGGGCTACAAGAAAAGTATGCAGCCAAACCTGAAGAGTGCCCAGGCAAAGCTCCGCGGGGTCTACATATTCTCACATCCTCTGGCAAGTTGGTTGCAGAACAAGGCTACAACACTACCTTCATAATCCTCATGGAAGAGGTAGGCTCACCAATCTAGAACTCATATTATGCAATAAGTTGTGTCCAACACTGTCATTCTACTAGTAGCATTTGTGGCTTGTATTTTTTGTGAACTGTCCAAAGAGCTTCAGCCTTTGGGCAGGACAGAAATGAAAAGTAAAGAAAGAAACCTTCTTGAGGAAATTGCATTTTAATCCTCCTGCAAAGTCAAATATTTTAATTCTACTTCTATTTATTTATTTAAAACATTTCTATGCCACCCCCATTGCAACAAAGCCTCGGGGCGGCTCACAAACACATCTAGATCTGCTTGAACTCATGTTAAGAGGGAATGCAGAATCCCTGGCTCATGGGTAAATTCTCCCCACAAAACTTTCCAGTCTGGTGCGCAGAACCTCCAGGGAGTGAGGCTAGGCTCCCAGGAGGATCCTTGTTCTTTTTTCCCATCTCCAATCATAGTTAGCAACAGAAATAGGTGAACTTGGCTGATGCTGTTCAGCACATCACAACTTCTTGGGGATGCAAACCCAGCCTGGCAATGGGAGAAGCAGCCTTTCCTCCTAGTGCTGTCGAATAATGTTTCTTCATGCTGGGGGAGGAACAACTGGTGCCACAGGGATGCTGTTCAAACCGAGTCCATGTTGGGCCAGTCTCCATGCTTGGTAAGACAATGGAAAGGTTAAGATAGGTGAGATGATGATGATGCCAGTGGCTATAAGCATACCCAGTAATGTCATCTAACCCATAGAGAGCCTCATGGGATAATCCTCCCACTATATCATTCTGCACCCCTCTGTGGAGGGTTGGTTGGACTAGGTGTGCTAATTGTTCCACCAAGCACTTGTACAACTGCAACTGGATGCACAAAATGCTGTTTTCACTAGTGTTATACTATGTGCTGTCCAGTATTAGTTTCTCTTTGATAAGGCCGCGCTCAGCCACTGCAAGCCCTTTTGGTTCTGGCCTCTTGGCAGAGCAGCAGAGTGGCAGAGGCAGAGGCTGGGAGAGAGCGCTGAATGACCAGAGGACTGGCGAAGGCAAGGTAGGAGCTGGGCAGCGGAGCAGAGGGCCAGGAGCAGCGGAGAGGAAGGGGGCGGGGCCAGAGAGGCTAGAGCGGCCAGGAGGAAGCAGACAGGTGGGGCCACCAGCCTGAGGGACTGATAAGGCCGAGCTCAGCCACTGCAAGCCCTTTTGGCTCTGGCCTCTTGGCAGAGCAGCAGAGGCACAAGCTGGGAGAGAGCGCTGAGTGGCCAGGGGACTGGCGAAGGCAAGGTTGGAGCTGGGCAGGGGAGCAGAGGGCCAGGAGCAGCGGAGAGGAAGGGGGCGGGGCCAGAGAGGCTAGAGCGGCCAGGAGGAAGCAGAGGGGTGGGGCGTCGTCCCTTGTCTGCGTCCCTTGGCTGCGGCCCGAGCTGTCCGGAGACTCCCTTCCCTGAGGCACAGAGATTCGATTGTTTGTTTGTGCTGTGCTGTGCTGTGCTGTGCTTTGCTTTGTTTTTCTTCCAATTTAAGTTTATTTTATCCTTGTGTGTGTGCATGAGTGGGTTTTCGTCTGGGAGAACTGGGCGAGTGAGGGGAACTGCAGGACTAACAAGGCAGGGGACCAAGGTAAGGTCTCGGAAGGGATAGCGATGGCAGACCAGGAGAGGGCCTTAGCGGGAGTCACGGGTGTTGCTGTCCGCTGCGACAGCAGCGACATGTTCGCCTTTCTCCCCCAGGAGAGGCAGGGATGCACTTGCCCTCGGTGCAAGATGGTGACCTTGCTAGAAGAGGAGGTGAGGTGCATGAGGGCCGAGAGAGCTCTCCAGGCCCCCCGGGAGCAGCCCTGCTCTGGACAGAGGGTTGAGGGAGAGGCCACGGGAGGAGCAGCTGGGGAGACAAGGAGGTATGTCACCCACAGGAGAAGGAGGCCAGCACAGCCTCCTCCTTCTCCTGGCACCAATCTGGAGCTGGGAAACAGGTTCTCTCCACTTGGGGAGGCTGGGGCTGATGAGGCCTCGGGGGACCAGCAGGACCCCCAGCCTGAGACGTCAGGCGGCAAGAGGGCCGCTGCAGGAGAGGTGAGGGCCAGGGCACGGCTGCCCACCAGCACCGGGAAGGTACGACGGCGGGTGATTGTTGTTGGGGACTCCCTGCTGAGGGGCACTGAGCCAGCGGTGTGCCGCCCCAACCTGGAGACAAGGGAGGTTTGCTGCCTGCCGGGCTCATACATCTGGCATGTGAAGGACAGAGTGGAGCGTCTTGTTCATTCCGGAGGTCACCAGCCGCTACTGGTGATCCTTGTGGGCAAAAACGACATGGGCAGGCAGGGTGTGGTTGGGATCACCAGGGACTTTGAGGCCTTGGGGAAGAAACTCAGGGAGCTGAAGGCCCAAGTGGCCTTCTCGTCAATCTTACCTGTCCGGGGATTTGGGCCAGGAAGGGACAGGAGGGCCTCTGAGGTGAACGACTGGCTTAGGGTGTGGTGCCAGAAGGAACGCTTCGGGTTCCTCGACCACAGCACTTGTTTTCTTGCCATTGGACTTCTGGCAAGGGATGGGTTATACCTCACGAGGATGGGGAAAAGGTCCTTTGGAGATGCTTTAGCGAGCTTTGTCCGGAAGACTTTAAACTGAGCCAGGGGGGTGGGTTCAGGCCCCCCAGGAACGTGTCTGCACTGAACAAGTGTGGGGGGAGGATCAGGGCTCTGGGAGCAGGTTTTAGAGATACTGCAGGGACTGACAGGACTCCTTCAGAGAGGGGCCAGGCATTAGGGAAGATGGGAGGAAGGAGGAGGCTAGGAACTCCAAGGAAAGGAAGTGGTGGGAAGGAGTTGAGGTGCATGTACACCAATGCTAGGAGCATGGGTAATAAGCAGGAAGAGCTTGAAGCTCTCCTGGGAATAGGAGGGTATGACCTGGTGGGAAGCACAGAAACTTGGTGGGATGAAAGACAAGTCTGGAATGTGAACACAGAAGGGTATCACCTTTTCAGAAAGGACAGGAAGGGAAAGAGGGGTGGGGGCATGGCTTTATATGTCAGGGAAGGGATAGGATGCAGTGAGATAGAATGCAGCACAGATGGGGATTCGGTAGAGGCAGTCTGGGTGAAACTTAGGGGAAAGAGACCTGACAGTGGGGGTATGTTATCGCCCTCCAGGTCAACTTGAGACCCTGGATGATGTCCTAACAGGCCAGATTCTAAGGATATCTTGGGAGAGAGACACAGTAATTATGGGAGATTTCAATCTCCCAGATATTACTTGGGAGACTCACTCGGCGGTAACAGCCAGGTCATGTTGCTTCCTAGGAGCTATTGAGGGAGCGTTTTTCACACAGAGGGTCCGAGAGGCGATGGGGGGGGAAACATCCTTGACTTGGTCTTGACCAACAGGGAGGAGCTGATAGATGAAGTACAGATTAGGGGAGCTCTGGATGCGAGTGATCACTCTATCCTTTGCTTTGAGATCAGGGGACTGTGGACGGGCAGCAGGTCAAGCACTAGAAGCTGGGACTTCAAGAGGGCCAACTTTGGCCAACTGAAGGCCAGACTAGGAAAAGTCTCCTGGGATAGGTTATGGGAAGGTAAGCGAGTTGAGGAGAGGTGGATAGCACTCAAAAGGGAGGTTTTGGAGGTGCAAGCCTTGACGAAACCTCTAGTCAGTAAGGTGGGGAGGCAGAGGAGAGTGCCGCCATGGATGCAAAAGGAGGTGGTTAGAGGGGTTAGACGAAAGAGGAACCTCCGTAGGAAATGGGTACTGGGGGAAATAGACAAAAGGGTATACCGGGAGGAGGAGGCCCGTTGCAGAAGGATTCTTCACAAGGCTAAGGCTGATTACGAGCTGAGACTTGCCAAGAATATCAAGAGCAATAAAAAGGGCTTCTTTCAGCATGTAAATAGGAGGAGGAAGGGGAGACAAGTGGTGGGACCACTAAATAAGGAGGAAGGAGATCCAATATTTGGAACACTGAGTGGGGCAGCATTCTTCCATGATGTCTGTTCATGAGAAAATTTGCTACAATTGCAAATTTGCTGTTTCATTGACTTTCATGCAAACAGGAATTTTTTTTTTTTTTTTGGTTCAGTTCTTGCACAGCATGCCCTCACGCTGTACAAGAACATGTCCTTGTGAGAAGTGAAAGCCCATTCTTGTAGATTGCAGCAGTGCATATGGCTGGCTCATCACAGATTGGGTGCTGTTATGTGTAAGACTTTGGTGGAGGGATCCCCTGGTTTCTAGAGGGTTATTGGATTCTTCAGATTCCCAGATCCAAGTCTGGAAAAGGAGTTATAACTTCAGAGCTAGGACTCTAAGATTCCCACCCAACAGCTGGCCTGGAAAGAACCATGCTAGCTACTTTTCAATGGTAAGTGTGATCTTGGATAAGGGCTAAAGGGAGCGGGGAGGGGAGGAGACTGGGTCCATCAGGATGTTTCATATCCTGATAGCACTCGAGTCTTTTTCTCTCCACCGTCATCTAGATGATTTGCAGGGCAGGAGGCAACATTTGCCCGAGCCCTCCTCCCACCATTCATAGGATGCCTATAATTCTCTAAATTTGGGGTGTTATGAGCATCCCCCTGTTGCCCTTAAGCCCCTTTGTCACAGTCATTATCAGTCTGATGTGCATATAGACCAAGCGAGATGGGCAAAAGAAATAGAACTCAGTGAGACAGAGTCTGATATGGACACAGTGGAACAAGCTGGGCAAATCCACTCTTTTAGTATGAACATTTTAAGCTGTCTTAGCTGGACTCAGAGCAACAGTCCAGCATGTACCAATTTTGCCAACACTGAATGGGAACAGCATTCCAAGGGTCTGGGCAGGGATTTTTCCCAGTCCCAGTGAAATTCTTTCATGGAATACTGGGAATTGAAGAGAGGATCTTCTGTGGGTCCTTTCTTTTAGTATGCTTCCTGGTTGGAAATGAAAACAATAAATATACTTCTTTATTCATTGCTTCCATTTTATATTCTTCTTATGAAGATGTGTGATTATGGCATACTTTGCACTAGACAAGTGATTTAAAATTGCTAGTTGT